TAGTATTAAAATTATCTTATTTTTATTTTTTAATTTTTGATAAAAATGCAACTATCATGATTTCTTTCTTTCTTTCTTTCTTTTTTTGGTTATTGAACATGAACTGAAAACAAGTATCATGAATTTGAAATAACATGTGCAGGTAGATGAACCTTCTGTAATATAAAGTTCAGAATACATGCATACTAAGTTGTTAAAATGTACAATAAGTTTAGATCAATACATCAATCAAATTCACTAGTTTTTTTGACAGCCAAACATGAATTTAAAACTGGAGGGCCTAACTAAAATACACTTTCGCATATATGCATAAGAACAGGGACACCAATGAATTCCACAAGATATGGAAACCTTTTTTTTGAAATGCACTACTAAGTCTTACGGAGTTCAACACCAAGAAGCCTACAATGCCGTTTCAATAAATAATAACTTGGCGAAAAAAGGGATCAGAGTACTTCAGAATTGTATATCTATCACAAAATGCAAGCTGATTATAGTGTTCGTTGAAGGCTGGTGACAATATCCAAGACAAAGAATTAAAGAGGAAACTTACAGTTCCTCTACAGGCAATATGGCACGAGCGTAAGCATTAGGAAATGAACATGAGCCATCCTAAGAGGAACCGATTAGAACCTTCAACTCGCTTTAGAACATCTAGATCTGCTATATTCTGTACACAACTTCTAGTTAGAGATCAAAAGGGTTAAACGCCAGTCATCTACTGCCGCAGGTTATGTTGGTTAGGTTTTGTAAGTGCTCTGGCAAAGTAATTGCGGATTTCGGGAATAATACGCTGGATAAGATAAGAGTGCCTGCAGTATTTGGCATATGAAGAAAATATTAGCAGTCAAAACAAGTTTAAAAGTTAGGCTTATAATGAGAGAGACAAAAAAAATGTGAATTTAGAACCAGTTCCATCAATTGTAAACACTGAAACAATTGCATTTAACAAACGCTATTACAAAAGCCAAAAGATATCTGCCAGCATGCTAATATGAGGATGGGGAAAAAATTTACAACTGAGAGAGATAACCAAAAGAAAAATAGTTAAATCAAAACATTTTACTCCATCCCTCCCTTTTTATGTAACTCATTTTTATAATTTTATTTCACTTCCAACAAAAAATAATGGTAGCCTTTATAATCTATGACCTTAAGTTCATTGATAATATTAGATGAATTTTCCATAATTTCAATCTAGAAAAGCATAACTTCAAGAGCTGTGAATGATTCTCCTAACCTCCTACACGTTAAGGTTAAAAATTAATATGTCATCCAAAATAGGATGGAGGGAGTGCCCAAAATTAGGTGATACCAAAGAATGTAAGACTTGGACTCTGCCTCATTTGAATGGCCAAAATGCTCAAAGTGATGATAGAGCCTTGAAAACCCTCTCTTTTTCTTTTTCTTTTTTTTCTCTGAAATGAATTTGAATATAGAACCTAACAGATTTGATATTAATTTCCCAATTGGCCATCAAATTCTTCATAACAGGATAGAAATCATCTTCTATGTTAGAGACCAACATCTACCTACAATTCTTAACTTACAATTTGAGCATTTTGCCTAAGTAATTAGGTATGATTCAACCATTCATTTAGATCAATGTATCAAATACTTATGATGCCACTTAACATCTTTTTCCCTTTTTATGATCAGTGATACCTAGACAAATTGCTTAAGTGTAGAACACACTAGCCTTTTTATTATTATTATTATTATTATTATTATTTTGGTATATACACATCTAGCTATTGGGTTTTCTTAGTTCTTACAGAAA